TAAAAGTTTCATATGCACTTGAAAAAAATGTTTATTCTACATTTTTCTGTTTGCAGTGTTTTCTAGGTATCAATTAGGTCAGCTTTGCAAACTTTGTTATATTGTTCCATATTGTTACTAACAGTATTTCATATTGTTACTTATAATAGTCTAGATTGTTACTAATGATTATATCTCCTTATCCTATTAATTACAAGAAAAGTATTTTAACTATAAATGTAAACTTGTCTATCCTTTTAATTCTGTCAATATTTGCTTTATGTATTGTCAGGCTATGTTTTTAGAAACATACAAATACAAATTCTCTGCATTTTTCTGGTGTATTTATTCCTTTGTCATTTTTTTTTTTAAAGATTTTATTTATTTATTTGACAGAGAGACATAGTGAGAGCAGGAACACAAGCAGGGGGAGTGGGAGAGGGAGAAGCAGGCTTCCCGCAGAGCAGGGAGCCCGACGTGGGGTTCGATCCCAGGACCCTGGGATCATGACCTGAGCCGAAGGCAGACGCTTAACGACTGAGCCACCCAGGCGACCCTCCTTTGTCATTTTTAAATAGCCCTCTTCATCTCCAATAATGTTATTTTTTTTAAAGTCTATTTTATGGGGGTGCCTGGGTGACTCAGGCGGTTAAGCATCTGCCTTCAGCTCAGGTCATGATCCCAGGGCCCTGGGATTGAGCCCCATATCAGGCTCCCTGCTCAACGGGGAGCCTGCTTCTCCCTCTCCCCCCACCCCCCACTCAGGTTCTCGCTCACTAGCTGTGTGCTTGCTCACTTTCTCTATCTCTCAAATAAATAAATAATCTTAAAAAAATAAAATAAAAGTCTTTTATGTAGTATTAATAAAGCCATACCATCCTTCTTTTGGTTAGTATTTTCATGCTATCTTTTCTATCCTTTTACTTTCAATTTTTCTCTATCTTCTTGTTTAATGTTTGTGTTTGTAAAAAGCATATAATTATTGTTTGTTTTTTTAATCCACTCTGTCTTTTAAATGGAGGATTAATTCATTTACATATACAGTAATTATGATATTTTTTGTGTTTAAGATCATCTTACTATTTGTTTTCTCTTTGTCTCATTTGTTCTATATTCCTTTTTCTTTCCTTTTATCCCTTATTTGAATTAACCATATTTTTCTTTGTATCATTCTATGTCCTTTCTCCCTCTATTAGGTTATTATATTTTTAAACTGTTCTTTTTAGAGGCTATCCTACAGGTTGCAACATGCATCCTTGATTTAATAAGGATATAAACATTAGTGCTATTATCACTTCCTGGGTAATTCAAAGATCTTAGACCACTTAAACTCCACTGACCCTCCCAACTTTTTGCTACTGTTTCTATCTTAAGCTTCTTTTAATCTACAACAGTCAACTCCCATCTCTTTCATGACATTGATTTTTTGAAGAGACCAAGGCAGTTGTCTTATAGAATGTTCCATCTATAGGATTTACTTGTTCCTCTTGGTTTCATTTAACTTGGTCCTCTAACCTGTCTACTCTTGGGAAATCAAAAGTGAAATGTAGCTAAATTAGATATAGGGGAGACATACTTAGCAACAATACTTTATAGCCAATGCTTTGAATTTTATATTGTCACATCAAGGACACAGTAATTTTAACCTCCTGTGTTTCCAAAAATTGTTGTATGGATTAAATGAGATGGCATATGTCAAGTGTCTATGAGGCTATCTGATACATAGTAGGTAAAGAGCAGAGTTTCCCAACCTCAGCACTGTTAACACTCTGGACCAGATAATTTTCTGTTGTGGGAGCTGTCCTGTGCATTGTAGGATGTCCTGTGCATTAGCAGCATTCCTGACCTCTACCCATTATATACCAGTAGCATACTCCAGTTGTCACAACCAAAAATATCTCCAGACATTTCCAAGTGTCCTCTGGGTGGGGGGAACTGGTTCCAGTTCAGACCACTAGTATAGAGCAAAAACCCAAGTATTGGATAAGTATTCCACAAGTACCTACTATCGTGCAGTGTGCAAAGCTTTGAGATTAAGACCTAATGAAACATGATTTCTGACTTCAACATACTCATGGTTTTGGAGAGAGACAATAGGCAAGTAGGGAATTAACAGATAAATGCTGTGATAAGGACAACCACTGTTGTATGTGAGGAGAGGCAGGCGATTCACTCTGCCTCAGAGGCCCTTTCACGGAAGAACAGAGAACTCTGATTTGAGACCCGAGGGACAGAATTCTCTCCTCTTTAAGGCTCAAGAGATCAAACCAATAAAGCCCATTCATAATGAAAATCAATACTTCAGAAATGAATTATCAAAACCCATATAATTTTCAGGCTGTATTTCAGAGTATGATCAATAAAGATGAATCTACTACCAAATACAGAGACACAAGTAAGGTAAGTCAGGAGTGAGAGCTGCAGATGGCACAATCAGCCATCTACTTCCTCAGTTGTTAGCAGCAAATATGTTATATTTTCCCATTCTATAGCTCGCAGTCTGTTTGGGGACAGACTGGGTAACTAACACCAGATTAACACGTCAGGATAATGTCACACACACCCTCTCTCGTTGACATTGGAAAGCCTTGACTAAGGAGGCCCATCCAACTGTGCATGCTGGTCCAGCCACCTATACTTTTCATTCTTCTTCCTGCCCAAGTACTTCTTTAGATCACTTGCAGTATAAATCAGAGACTGGTTAGCTGTTCACTAATTCTGCTTCCTCTATTTCCTGGGCATATAGCTTTATTACATTTCCTAGCCTCTTCTGCAGCTTACTGTGGCCATGTGAACAATTTCTAATCCAAGGTATGTAATAGTGGAAGTCATATGTACTCTTTCCAGGTCTGGCCCATAAAAACCTCCCATGTGTAATCCTTCGTGCTGTTTTCTCTTCCAGTGGCTTGATTCAGACACCCATTGGTACCTTGGTAGCCAAGGTTTAAAGATGGCAGAGCTGAGGAGTGAAAGGAGCCTGTGTTCCTGAGTCTCCCCTTGGAGGAGAGAGGCCCAGCAACCAAGAATGCCCTTATTGGGTTGGATATGAATAAGAAGTAAACTTCTGTGTTAAGCCGTGAGATCTGAGGGTTTATCAAGTACAGTAGCAAGCATTAGCCTCCTAATACACCAAAGTAAAGAAATAGCCAGGTTTACCCTGCAATTGTAAGCCCCTCAGTCCTGCAGACATGCACGGTATTTCTGCTGTGTTCACCAAGCCAAAGAAAAGCACTTTTTGCCAGCAAATTTCACTGATATTCCCTGGAGTTAGGTGGGTATGTGAGAGGCCATTTGCAAGGCCATTGCTAAAGATCACACTTCATCTAATGTCCACAGCACAGAAGTATGAAAGGGCATGGGCTTTGATGTCAGACAGATGTGGCTCTGAATCTTGGCTACCCCCCGCCCGACAATTCTTTGGCTTCATCTCCCTGGGCCTCTGTTTCTTCATCTGCAAAATGAGGGTAATAAAACCTCATAGGGATTTAGCGGGGATAAAACAACAGATAGCATATAAAACATCGGCATAGTTCCAAGCATGTCCAAGGTACTCAATTATCAATTAGGTCCCTCCCAACAATCATGAAATGAATAAATTAGGAGTTTATTTACCCTTCTAATCAGAAGACTAAGCAAGAGGTGGCCTTTTCACAAAGAACTATATATTTATTCTTCCATAGAAATGTTTAATACCTCATACAAAGGAACCAGGTTCAACAAATACTTTTATTTTTCCCTTGGTCTAAATAAGGAGAATTTAAGTTTCAAGAAACTTAAAAATATAAGCATAAACAGAGGCAGCATTCATTATTTTTAGAACTCTTTCCCTTTATAGAAATAAATGTCGTATTTTTAAACCAACAACAGAACATACAGTGACCTCTGACCCAGATGGAGAGCAATAAATGAGACGATTCACACAAAGCAGGGGGAGTACAGGGTTTTGCTGGACAATACCCGTGTTGCCCCAGATACAATGAGTCCAAGGGAAAAGATGGCAGATCACAAAGCTAACACGTTGGTGGCAGGCCCTCCACCTGACCCAAGCCCATCTCTGTAGCTGAGATTTGGCAACAGGACAGGTAAATGGAGCAGGATCCTTCTAGGGAGGTTGGTGGAGCAGTGAGCTGTCACACCCCTGTGCCCCAACTGCAGGGACAAGAGGCTGAAATGTCAGGCCAACCAGGATGCAGAGGGAAACATGGAAGAGAGCTGCCCACCGGCATGACTAAGTGCTCTTGGGGACAGGCCCCACTTAGAGGGCAGGAAGCAAATATCCAGATGTTATGAGCTGCCAGGTATGATTAACTGAGGAAAGGTGAAGCTGCCCACTTAACCACCTGAGCAGCAGCCCCACCCGAGTGACCCAAGAGGTTTCTGCAAATGCATTAATCATCAAAACCAGTGGAGGCTCCATCCATCTCCATCCCCGCCGCTCTTCATCTCTCCCTCTGACAGTCAGAAGAGCAGCCTATTTTTAAACCCTGGCACCACTTTCCCTCATGGAAACATGGGGGCTTCCTGACACAGGCTGATGCTCAGCGGAAATGCAGGCACACCGAAGGGCCTGCCCACTCTCCCACCCTTCCTCTCCCTGGAGGGGCAAAGGCTGCTCGGGGACAGCGAATATCTAACACCGGCCTCCATGACAGCGAAACCGACTGCCAGCTTCCATCCTCGGCAAAAGGGAGGCTTGGGCAAGAACCAGCCCCATGTACAGATATCAATAGCAACAGCTCAAGCCTGGGAAGAAGAAAAATAAACCCCAGATGCCAATTCTAGCATCTTTTAAAGTAAAAGAGTTTAAAAAAAAATAAAAGAAAAAAAAAGAGCTTAAAAGGATCTCAGTGTCTCTTTAACATGTATCTAACGTGCTTTAAATAAAATAGCAAACATTTCATTAAGCATTGGAGACTTTTTCTTGGCAAGGTCGCAATGAAGTCAATTTACCCAAAAAAAAAAAAAAAAAAAAAAAGAAGAAGAAGAAGACTTTTCAAGAAAGGAGGTTGTATTATACTTACAATCGCTCCAGCTGCTTCAGATCCTGGAAGGCGCCTCTCTCGATGATGCTGACCTGGTTGTCTTCCAGATGCCTAGAACCACAGAAACAGCAGCGGTCAAGGACAAGGGGCCTCAGGGGTCCTGGCGCTAGGCTTCAGGCCCGGCAGGCAGGGCCACTCAGCCCCTCCCACAACACTCTGCCCTGCCCCTCACCCCCCAGCCAGGATCAGTCTGGTGGGACAAGATAATTCACATGCCAGCTTGGTGTCACGGTAACCAGGGTTTCGCCGCCTGCACACTTCTACCTGACAGATTGGTTTCCATGCCTCTATTTTAAGAATGTTCTCAGCAAATGTCCCCCCAAGCACTGCAGGATGTTGCACAGAAAAGGAAGAGGTAAAAGCTGCTTCTTATAAAAACCACACATATATTCAGCATCTCCTCCCTTGGAGCTCCCTCCTCTAGAGATGCAAAAATACTTCATTAAAAAGGGCCTCTCTGTGTACTCTGTCTCTGGGTCACCTACTGGAAAGGGTGACCCTATTGTTGGACAACTGCCTGTACTAGGAACTCTCCTCGCCCAGGGCCTGGCTGTTCCCAACGTGAGGGTGATGGTCACGAAAGCTAGTCTAGCCACAGTCTCTGCTGACCTCCAAAGTCCTCCATGCAGATGATTAAAAACCTAAACACTTTGCTTAAGTGAGGTTGTTTCAAGCATGTGGCATACCCTAAGAATTGAGTATACAATGAAACATTTGTTTCCCTAACTTAAAACACACACACACACACACACAATGGCAGCTTAAATAGGATTAGCTAGGCTAAGGGAAACAATGAGGGAAGGGAAGCAATGAGGTTGTCCAGTTTCCATCCAGGACCAATCCTGCTGGCTGAATGAGACTTAAGGGGATGCAGTTGTGTTTGAAGGATGTGTCCTTGGAAGTTGGAGTTTAGGAAGGGCTGTGGGTGCCCCTGGATTACAAAGGAGGAGAGGTGCCCTGAGCACCTGAAGGAAAAACAGAAGGATGGAAGGCAGCTTTAAGGAAGGTTGGCCTTCATTTCAAAATGATTCCATCCATGCTTGCCCACCACCTCTGAGGCATTTCATAACCCCTGTACTTCTTGGGCTTAACACTTGGGTCCTTGTGTTTATTTTCAAGTCCATCGTCCCCACTATGCCTAGGGACTAAGAGGGTAAGAACTTCTGTTCGTTCTCATACTCCTTGCCCTACCACATTTGCCTAGCGCAGCAGCCACTTAATAAAGGCTTTTGAATAATGAAAAACTAAAGATGACTTGGGGCCACATAACATATTGATTTTCTATCAAGGAAAAGGCTAGTCTAGGACATAAGAAGTGTCTGACTCAGACGATCAGAGTGATAAGGGTATTTTGTTTGGGTTCAATGATATTTTACATTTTTTGTGACTTTTTCACAAGCAACTAAAAATCAATTATCTCACACACACACACACACACACACACACACCACAAAAGAAACTCCTTTTGAAAATTCAGCTCCTGTGTTTCCAAATACCAATAATTGGTGGGAACTAAGTATGGGGTCAGGCAAGGCACACGGGCCCCTCAGTCTGCCTCAATCCTCACCCACTCCAGTTCATACATTCATGTCCCTCTGGCCCCTTACAACTTAACAGATACGGACATCATGGAGTAGGGAAGCTAAGAGACTCACCCAGGGAGAAATTATTTGGATAAAGTCATACAGCCAGCTAGGATAGACTCTTTAACCCCCCAGTCTGGTGTGCTTGTCAAATCTGGCGTAAAAACCCCTGTCCTGCTTTCTTACCAGCAGATGGTGTGGCACTGGGCTATCTAATCAACCTCTCAGGGACTCTCTTTCCTTATTTATAAAATTAAAAAAAAAAATCTCATAAGTCCTTGTAAGGATAAAAATGGAATAGAGTGTGTAAATTATCTAGTCCAGGATCTGGAATACAATTAGAGGCTTAATAAATGTTCTTTTTTCCTTCCCTTGTCTTTCTCTCTATTCTGCCATATGGCAAGGAGGGCCTTGGAATGCCAACAGACTCACACTAGCACATCTCGCTAAACAGGGAACCAGTTCAATATTAGTGACTAGGGATTTGTTGAGCTGGGTTTTTACTATCAGTCAATCCATCACAGTGCTTGTTGTTGTTAAGTTCCCAATTATAACAAGGAGCAACCCTAGAGTGACTGAGTGTGATATTCTTTTTTTTTTTTAAAGATTTTATTTATTCATTTGACAGAGAGAGTCACAGCAAGAGAGGGAACGCAAGCAGGGGGAGCGGGAGAGGGAGAAGCAGGCTTCCTGCCAAGCAGGGAGCCCAATGCGGGTGACCAGAGCCGAAGGAAGATGCTTAACGACTGAGCCACCCAGGCGCCCCTGAGTGTGATATTCTTGCTGGGTTTCTGAAGAATTTTAACTCCAATCTCCTATGATGAATTTTTTAGTTCTGTACTAATTAATCTAATACTGCTAGCTTCTTTCAGAAAGGGGAGTCAAAAAATGCAAATATATCTGTATTAGATATCTGCCCCTTCTCTACTTTGCTCAGGCTCAGGGAGGCTAATTTTTATCACTTCAAGAAGCTTCTCTGACTCTAGTTTCCACTTGAGTAAGCCATGGAAGTCACCAGCAGAAAATGAGATGTGGGATGGAGTGATATTCGGGGATTTGTTCCTACCTCCTTCCCTGCCAAGTAACTTCAGATTGACTGTGTCCCTCTACCTAAGACCCCAGATCCTGTCAGGCAGTTCCCTACCCTTTGTGGGCTCAAATAACCACTTCCTCTCACTGCTCCTTGAGGCCCAGAGCACTGTCGTGGCTCCTTGTTGCTAGCCCCAGGAAATTGCACCATATCTTCTTGGTTTTTCTTAACTTTGCCCACACCTTTATAAATAATTCTTTATTCAGCTCCCCTTATTTGTCCTGAGTGAGTGTCATCTCTTTCCTGCTGGAGTCCTGGCTGGTAAGGTAGCTAGGGTCCCTCTCTAGATCTGCTTCCTAGACCTATCAGAGACCAGCCTAGTACCTGACTTTTAAAGGTGCAATAAATAATCAATATCTGATGAATGAATGAATGAATGAATGAATAAAGAAACTGTGAACCTTACATCCAGACTTCTAGGCTGAGATGCAGTTCAGGAGCTTGGGATAATGCCATTGATGTCACTCTCATTTTACTGACCAGATGCAGGAGGTCAGGGATCCAGGAAAGGTTGGATGCCCAGAAGGGCTGTCCATGAGTCTGTTCTGAGTTAGAGACATACAGACTGTGTTCAGCTCTTTTGGCATTGTTATTTTTTAGTTTTAACACTGGATCAGAATTGGAAATCACCCCATGTGATGATGGCTGGGGAGGAGTTTAACTCTTTTATTGACCCCATTTGGGATAAAGCTGGCTCCCACATTGTGGGCACAGCAGAGTTCTTGCAACAGACTACTAAGAAAGGGAATATAATTGATAACACCAGAAGAGATCTTTTCCTACTCCCACTCTGTGGGAGAAAGAATTGTTATGGGCAATTCTTATATCTTCTCCTTGAATGTACTTTATTTGGGGAAAATTGCCTTTGGATGAGACCAAAGTTCCCCAATCTCCATTTTATCTGCTTTTGCCCATTCACCTGTACTGTATTAACAGTTCTGCATGGAAATAAGTGGCAAGCTCAAATTATTCAAGACTATTGAGTCTTTTCTGGCTTCACTATAAATTGTAAATAAGAAACAGATACAGGGAATGTGCCAAGGTGTGATGAAAGCTTTTCAAAAAAGATAGTTGTCTAGGTTACTCAGCTAAAAAGAATAGATTGGGAGAAAATATGGTTTAAATGTCTGGGTATTTTACTGGTGTGAGAAAGCATTTCAGCTATCCCACCTAGCAGATTCTTTCACAGTAATAAAGGACCACTTGAATGGGATTGTCTTTGAGTTGATAAGGAAGATAATGAAACACAATATATTAACAGAGTCTATAAAGAGGGGAAGGGGGAGTGTTTTGGTGTTGCTTATCAAAATAAGAAGAATGTGTCAATTAAATGAATGATAAACTGGAGTCAAAGGAATGTTTTGTAGACCATCCAGAGGATATTAATACAATCTTTTGTGATTATTTTAAACTTTCTATTTGCAGAGAGCAGATATGGAAATAGGAATTTTTATTAGCCTTTCTGATGTAATGGTAAGAAAATCAAAGAGTTTTCTTTTCTGACTTGGTTAGAAAATGAAGCATTAGGTGAAATTTGTGACTCATATGAAAGGAAATCTCTCAGAGATGCAGGGGGGAAAATGGAAACAAAGAGAGAAGTTAAATGTTTGTTTTTTAAGCTGTCAGATGACCTGCAATCAGGAGTTTACCGTCTCTATCTCTTCAATAAAAGTTACTCTAAAGCTAAGCCATGGAATTCCCTCAACCCATCCCAGTCTCAATTCTGTCCCACACACATCTCATGAGAGCTGCCAGTCATTTGACATACACGAGACTGCTTAGGGCAAAAGACTCAGCAGAGGGTAGAGGCTACCGCTTCGGCCCCCACCACCTTCCTCCTGAGGATGGTGAGAGGAGTGTGAACATGCCACATCTGGAGAATATATCAAGGGGAAAACATCTGCTATCTGGAGGCCCAACATTCAGATCCTAGTGTCCCCACACACTAGTGTTCAGGGAAACTCAGGTAAACCACTTATTTGCACATCAGGGCTGTATTTTTAAGATGGGTAGACTATTGCTTCCTGGTTTTTAAAATTTCTATAATGCAAATGGACAGCAGCTCTGCACAGAGGTTAGAAAACACACGTTCTGGGTTCTGACTTCTCCTTAGCATAGTTACCTGCCATGTGAAGCTGGGACAACTTAACCAACTGTGCCTGTTTCCTCTGGGCAGATAGGGGTTAATAACCACATAACACAGAGCTTGATCTGCGATAGGTACCATATATACATTGGTTATCATCACCATTGTCACCACTATCTACTTCTCAGTCAGAAAAGCAATGCTACGCAAGTAATATTCCACAAGTTGCAGTGAGAATAAACAGACTTCATGAAAATGATAAAACCATAAAGCATTATATGTGCAACTGTGAGAATTAGGAGGACTTCTGACTATTTGTTATGGGTGGAATTATATCCCCCCCACCAAATTCATATGTTGATGTCCTAATCCCCAGGCTATCATAATGTGACCTTATTTGGAGATATGGTCATCACTGAGGTAATTCAGTTAAAATGGGGTCATTAGGATGTGCACTAATCTAATATGACTGGTGTCCTTATAACAAGAGAAAATGTGAACAGAGACTGCTTAGAAGGAAGACGATGTGAGAGACTCAGGGAGAAGACAACCATCTAGAAACCAGGGATTTCTGAGGCTACCAGAAGCTAGAAAAGGTGCTGGATCAGAGCCTCCCTCTCAGGATCGCCCTCAAAAGGAACCAACCCTGTTGCCACCCTGACTTTGGTTTTTTGGCCTCAGAAACTGTCAGACAATAATTTTTGTTAAGCCACCCACTGTGTGGTCCTTTGTTACAGTAGCCCCCCCGAACTAGTATATTATCATTCCTTAACTTAGAGATGAAAAAACTGAGGCCCAGAGAGGTATAGTGATTCACCCAAGATCACATGCACAGTTAATTTTGATGCAGGACCAGAACCTGGTACTTCTTGTCCCTACAATAAAATTCTTTGTATTATAATGGGCTATTAGCAAAAAGAAGGAGGTGGCTTCAGATACCAAGACTTTAGCTGCTGCTTCTAGCAGGGATTTGCCAACCAAGATTTCATGACACAATAGACACCAAGGCACTGGCCAGACTGCCCAGACAGTGCTCCAGGTGTGGAGCCACACTTGGGGGCGAAATCAACCTCTGAGTAAAGTAGCAAAGAGGCTCCAATTGCTCCTCTCTTGTATCTCTAAATATTTCAGACTTGCCAATGGACAAGCATTTAGGCACATCCTTATCACTCACAGACTCAGGGATGGGTGAAGGTGTTCAATATGTAGCAAGGAAACCTGATATTCCTTGCTCCCCTGTTGCATCAATACCCATCTCAAATTTTGCTACCTGTCTGTACGGCTGTGGGTGTACAACAGGGGCCCTGACCCTGTCTGACTCTCTCCCTCCCTTCTCCCCTCCTCTTCAGTAAGCAACAAGATAAATAGCTTTTGTTCTGATTGCTCTTTTAATGCACAGGCTGGAGAAGAAATTATAATCTCTATGGAAGAGTAGCCTGGTTAGTCAAGCTGACATTGCTATCATCCTAGAAGCTGGGCATGTTGATTTATTCATGTAGAGCCTTCTGTTTTCCCTGTCACTGGAACTGACTTCTTCCACCGGTCTAGCCCAGCCGGCAGCATGGAGACACAGAATGAGATACCCATGAAAACCTGGGTCTACTAATGAAGGGTTTTCTGTTGAAGAATGGTAAATTCCTGTCACCCAGTGCATAGGGGTGTAATGTCAGGCCAGCAGAACATTTTCACAAGGCCAAAGAGCTGAAAATGAAAATGCGTCGAAGAGCCATGTATTACTTACAAGACTCGGAGATTCTTGAGTCCAGCAAAGTCCATCTTGGTGATCCTGGTAATATTATTTCTGTCCAGGTCACTGCAATAGAGAGCAAATTTGGGTCAGATTTTTTTTTGCAGGTTACACTTATGGTCTATTCAACCCAGACTGGCTTGAAGGAATGTTGCTTGTCAAGCAGAAGGTAATTCCAATGATTAATATCATCCCCTGAGCATGCCCAACCAACCTTAAGGATACTGTTTGGAATAAGCTACCCATTATGTATGTAGTAGAGCCCTGCTATATTTAGCTGCCTGGCTTCTGTTGCCCCTTCTTTGGGTAACAACTTTTTCTTTGGAAGTTCCCTCCCCCAACTCTCAGACCATGTCACATAAGTGAGGCTTACCCCTCTTCCCAGATCCAGGAAAGTATACATGACTCAAATTCCCAATAGCTCTCTCTCCCCACTGGGTTTCCAAGCTGTTCAGCATTGCCAGAAACCATCTTGCCACCATGTAGAAAGAGTTTTCCAGAGTCAAGGAGAGACTGATTCCTGGTGCTAGCCTATGAGTATGTGGATCTACCCATGCCTGAAGCCAGGTACTTCTGCATTTTGAAATTATATGAGCCAATCTATCCCATCTCCCTTATATTTTGTCTTAAAACAGTTTGAGTTGAATTTTCTATCACTTGAAACCAAAAGAATCTTAACTGACTTTGGTACCTACCTAGGTATTTGTTTATTTTCCAGCTGGTTTGCAAACTCCCTGAGGGCAAAGGTAATACCTCATTTAACTTCCATAGCTCAATCTAGAGAGTATGTGCCTGGCACAGAGTAGAGGGAACTTTGCTAATCTCATACATTAGGGAAAGACACATGCATTGCTCCTGCCTCAACTAGTAGGTTTACGCTCCTAAAAATGATCCCAAAGAGAAGAATTTGCTACGGAAGAATTGAAAGCATTATGGTGGTATATGTGTTGGGGAGAAGGGACACCATGGGTATTAGAAAACCAGGGTTAGAGAAAACCAAAGTCAAGAATGAACCTATGAACAACTATAAATATATTCTGTGTTCACTAACATTATCTAAGACTAGATGCAAAAAAAAAAAAGACCACGCATAATATGTTACAGTTCTTAATAATGGATGCTGAATGGCTAACTCCTATCTACCATACCTTCTTGAGAAATTTTCAGGGTTCTGGCCACATTGGAGTTTCAACAAGTTACTTGTAAACTGGCTTTTCTCTTTTCCTGAACATTCAGGAACTAAGGAGGCCATTTTCTCCATGACAGATCCCCATCCACACAGTCACTACTTCTAACATTTTCCTAGCCAGGGCCTAAAGTTGCCATCCTGCAGTCATGTCTCAGAGGGACTTGCGAGCTCTACAGCTGTGTTAAAGGAACAGGGAAACAGTCTTCAGATTCTAGCACTTTATATGAAGAGGATTATTCTCCTGATACTGAAGATAATACCACAATAAAAATCAAGTGAGTCCTTGGTTAATCTCACCTGGGAACCACCTCCCTTCCTCATCCAGTTTTCCACTACCTAAAGCAGCAATCAAGTTGTTTCTTAACTAGCCTGTGATGGAGAGAGGTAGTATATAGACTTCTCAGACTCAGTTGAGTGCTGGCTGGTAAAGGAAGAGCAAGAATTACACAGGGAAATAAAGAAAGGTTGCCTGTCTGAGGGAATGTGTGCATGCTCATACTCACCCTGAGTATTTTTCTCAACTCCTGTCTCAATGGGACTGATGTTTGGGGACACTGAAAACTACAGATATGACAATGCAACTAAGGGTTTAATTACCAGGACCCAGCATGGTATCTCAGCAGCTTGTGCTGGTGGCTGGGGCACCAATATTTTCAATTAATATTTATTACGTGAAGGGGCACAAAGCGTGCTGCTGCAAGGCTGAGGACTTGGTGAGGGTAGGGGGGAACAGGTTGTGGGGTTCCCCAGGCACACAGTCCCTGTTTGGGAGGCAGAGCCTCAGGGACAAGCAGCCCTGAGTTTGAGTCCCTGCCCTGCCACCTGCTGAGTGAGCTATGGGCAGTTCCCTTCATTTCTGAGGCTCCGCTTCTCCATCCACAAATGGAGGGTGGTCACCCCAGCTCAAAGGTTTTTGTGAAGGTCAAATGAGATGACACATATACAGTGCTTCCCCGGCACTTATTAGAGACTCAATCATGGCGGCTATTATTACTATCATTAGTTGAACTACAGCCTTCTTACCTGCACCCGCCACTTCCACCCTGAAATTTCAGTGCATCAAGAGCAGTTGCCTGCACCGCCCCAAACTCTGTGCCTACAGATGAATCCTGGGATCTCCAGGAGACTATCTTCCTGTAGATGTAAAAGGGGTGCATTTTGTGACTAATAAGTAGTAAGATGGCACCACAAGCAGCCCCCTCATGCTGCCCCTCCCTCTCACATTTCTTTTTTTTTTCTTTAAAGATTTTTAATTTATTTATTTGACAGAGAGAGACACAGCAAGAGAGGGAACACAAGCAGGGGGAGTGGGAGAGGGAGAAGCAGGCTCCCCGCGGAGCAGGGAGCCCGATGCGGGGCTCGATCCCAGGACCCTGGGCTCATGACCTGAGCTGAAGGCAGACGCTTAATGACTAAGCCACCCAGGCGCCCTGCCTCTCACATTTCTAAGACACCTATTTCCAAATCTCCCCCTGCCCTGCCAGCACACACCCTGCCCGACTGCCAGGAAGGAGGTCAGGAAGCACGTTCCTGGGCTCTGAGGTGAGACAGGTCAGGGTTCAAATCTCTTCCCTACCCCCGACGCCCAGCTGTGTGAGTATTTTAGCTTTTCTGAGCCTCCCTGCTTTATGTAAGCCTCTCCTACTTGCAACCTTGGAATGGCAAGAAGCACAAAACCTTGACTACAAGTATGCTTGGCTGAAAACGGGACTTAATTAAATGGGCACTGTGAAGAAGCTGCACTACCTCATGTACCCACTGCTCCCCTAGCCCCCGTGGTCCCAGTCCGGGCTACTCTGGAACTTCAGCCTGACTTCTTAGCCATCAGCTTCGGCCTTTGAGGGAATCAGAATCAGTAGATCTTAGCCTCGCAGATGGTTCAGACGGTGTTCTGAACCATCTGCAAGCATGATCCCTCGATGGGGAGCCACTGCAGTTCTAGTGGTGGAGTAGGGAAGTGGGGTGGTATTGAAACATGTCTGCAAGTTGTTTCATTGACAAGCCTGCCGTGGAGAGGTGGAGTCTATGTTCCTTTCCCTTGAAAGTGAGCAGGCCTTATGACTGCTTAGACAAGCCCGGGGCAGGAATGACGCTGTAGAATTTCTGAGGCTGGATTAGAAAAGGCAGTAAGCGACTGCCTGGCTCTCTTGAAGCCCTGAGCTGCCATGCTGGAAGACCGGAAGGCCTAGGGTCACCACTGGTAAGACCATGTGAGCCCTGAGCTGCCATGTTGGAAGACCGGAAGGCCTAGGGTCTCCACTGGTAAGACCATGTGAGCCCTGAGCTGCCATGTTGGAAGACCGGAAGGCCTAGGGTCACCACTGGTAAGACCATGTGAGCCCTGAGCTGCCATGTTGGAAGACCGGAAGGCCTAGGGTCACCACTGGTAAGACCATGTGAGAGGACCAGAGAGAGACAGAGACAGGGAGAGAGAGGGAGGTGCTGGAGGAGCCCCGGCGGTTCCACCCTGGCTGTTTGATTCTTTCCAGCATAGAGGTCAGGCACATAAGTGCAGACACCTTTGAGATTCCAGCTCCAGCTACCATCTGGTTATGACTTATGAGAAACTCTGAGCCAGATCACCCAGCTGAACTACTCTTGAATTCCTGTCCACAGAAACTGTGAGGGAGAATACTAAAATGAGCACTGTCTTAAGCCATTAAGTTTTGGAGTGATTTGTTTGGCAACAAAAGAGAGATGGAAGAGAAAGATACCTTTTGAATGTTTAACTTCCTCTTAACAATGGAACCTCCTTCACATGACTCTCAATGGCATGTCCTTTCTGTGCTTGCCTGTCACCCTTGAGATCCTCAGTCCTGTCATTTTGGTCAAATATGGCTCATAGGGGCCAAAAACACCCTGTCATTCTAGGAATGAAGTGAGAACCAGCCCTTCTCTCAGGTTCTCAGGAGTAAAGGCTGCATAATTAGGGTTGCCCATCTCTCCAAGTGAGCCTTAGGATACCATGAGAATCACCTTGGTGTTATATTAATAATCGCAGTAGTGGGTACCCTTCATTGAACATTGTGGCAGAGACCAGCAAGTTGTCCAGCAAACCATTTTCCCTCAGTCTGGTTACACAGATAGCATACATTTCTCAGCTTCCCTGGCAGGGAGGTGCAACCATGTGACTGAGTTCTCACTATTACATGGGCAGAGGCAATATATGCTGCCCTCAGGCCTGACCAATAACACTTCCTGCCCAATCCTTCATGATCTTTTTCTTCCCTCTGCTTGGGCTGAATTCAGTAAGTCCAGGGGAGGACTCCAAGAATGGCAGACAGAAAGAGCCTGAGTCCTTGAATGACTGCATGGAATAGAGACCTTCCCTCCTCTTTCTCTCCATTTACCTATATAAAACTCAGACACATTCAAGAAATAATTCTTAAAGCCACTGAAATTTTGGGCCTATTTGTTATAGCAGTCTACACTGACAAATGCAATATCTTTGAGTCAGGATCTTTCCATCTTTTTTTTTTTTTTCTTTCTCTTTGCAACAGTTCTGAAAGGTAGGTATTATTATCTTCCTTAAACAGATAAAAATACTGCAGATAAGCCTTAATAAGAGCTGATGTTTGTTGGGCCCAGACTATGCACTAGGCACTGTGCTAAAAATTGTATGTTCATTTTCTCTTATCCAGACAGCAATCATATGTGGTAGATACTATTACTATCCCATTTTTCACATGAGGAAGCTGAAGCATAATTTCCCCAACCCCAATCCAGCTTAGATTTTACCAATAAAGCAACTTGCCATGAAGTCACACAACGAGTAAGTGGCAAAGGCTGGGATGTGAACTTGGGCTCTCTGAATGCAGAGGACATGTTTTTTATCACATCATGCTCCCCATCTATAGCTAGACTCTAAGCATTTTCT